CGCGCCGTGGGCGCTCCACCGCCGCGCGACTCCGGCAGCGGCCGCGCCTCCAGAGCTCGCGACCCGCCCGAGGACTTCGACTCGGCAGGTTCCCAGAGCTTGCGAGGCGGCGCACTCTCGGGGCGGGGCGCTAGGACAAGCATGTACCCTTCTGCTCGCGCCGCAAATGCGCCACCAGCACCGCGCGCCGACGCTATGCCCAATCGTGCTTATGCGGGCCGATTGCAGTCGAGCGCCCGCGCGCACGTTCTCGACGCATCGCGGCCCGCCGCCGCCTCGATCGCTGCACTGGCGGCCGCCCCCCGTGCCAGGACCGCTCCGAGGTCTCTTGACCCCGCCGCCACGCTTAGCGCCGCGCCTCTTGCGGGGGACTCGACCGGTAACAGCGCGGATCTCCCCGACCCCAGGGGGCCCGCCCACGACAGGGTCTCGGAGACGTTGGCGGCGGCGCCGCGCCCTCCCGAGTCCTTGGAGCCCTCTGCGCACGTGGCCCAGGGTCCGCCCCAAGACGGTGCGCGGCCCACCTCGTCGGTTGCAATGCTCGCCAGCCGGGTCGCTGGCCCAGCGGCCGCGGTTGCGCTGAGCGCGCGCGCCGACCGGCGCGCTCGGGCGCGGTTCCGAGCTTCGGTCGCCGCTGTCGATGCCGCTTTCACGGATGTTACGCTGGGGAGAGGCGCGGATACTGGAGAGAGCGCGGAAGAGCTGGCGGAGCGAATGCAGACGCTCCTAGCCGAGCTCGAGCGGCGCAAGGCTTCACTCCGCATCGCCCGCTCACGCCTTGCCGATTGTCTCAGAGAGGCCGCGTCCGCCGGGCTCCCTAAGGCGGCGGCGGACTCTCCTGCGCCTGTGGCAGTTCTGGCTGCCCCCGTGGAGTTGGACAGCGCCGCCGCGGCTGAGGCGAGGGTAGGTTCGACCCTGCACAGCGAGGCGGAGCCGGCGCCGCAGGTCGGCGGTTGCACCGCCCTTGCATTGCCTCGGCGAGTCCCTCACCCCGCGCGCCGCCGCCGCCGTGCGGTAGAGGCCGAGCCTCCGAGCGCTCCTGCCGGGCGGATTCCGTCTGGTCAGGGTTCATGTTTCATTTCCGCTGTTGAGGAGAGGCGTACACGGGCGCTTGATGTATTCGAGTTGTGGCTCGTAGAGTACACGGGCGTTGTCCCTGGCACACTCTACCGCAGCGGGATCTTGTTAGACAGCTTCCTGGCCACGTTCGGCGTTTGGCTCCACGACGCGGGGCTCCCGCTCCACATCCTTGTCCACGCCATTCTGGGCGTGCAGGCCGATCACCCTCACTGGAAGGATTTCTTGATTGGGGCCTGGGATGTTGCCAGACTGTGGAAGCTTGCCGAGCCTTCCGCGTACTTCCTCGCGCCCGCTCGCCGTTTTCCTGGGCTCCGCCCGCCGCTCCCCCGAGCGCTCCTTCGCGCGATGGTTAGCCTGTGCCTTATACTGTGGGACTGGCCCGGGATGGCAGCTCTGCTGCTGGCTGGTTTCACGATGGCCCTGCGTCCCGGCGAACTTCTCAACGCGAGGCGCTGTGACTTGTCGCTGCCTTGCGACCGCCAGGAGCAGGAAGGCGATGCCATTTTGTCGATCTTAGCTCCTGACAGCCGTCGGTCCTACCCGACTCAGCTCGCTCGTTGTTCGGATCGAGCGACTGTCAAGATTATGGAGCTAGTGTTTCGGCATCTGGGTCCCGCCAATCCGCTCACGACCACGGCCTATGGTCAGAGCGGCTTCCGAACTCGGTGGAACCATTTACTTACGGGCTTGGGCGTGCCGCTCGCCAGGATGCCTGCGGGGTTTCACCTCCCTTCCGCGCCGGAACATACAGATAGCACAGGCACCAGTGTCTTGGACTGTTATATCGATTCGGAACATGTGCCCCGCGTCTTCTTGCGTGGCCGCTGGCGCCAGGAGTCCAACGCCGAGCGATATCTGCAAGACGTTGCCGCTGCTACTGTCCTTGCCGCCCTCCCTGATACCTCTCGGTCTCAGGTCGAGTACTGTGCTTCTGTTAGCGACTACCTTGTCGCCTCCTTCCTGAATGCTGGCCCTGCCATGTGGCCCATTCAAGTCGCAGCCGCCCGCCAAACTTCTGTCACTTCGCAAGGGCTTTGAGCATGGGTATGACTGCTACGACCTCCTGATGGTCGTCCAGGGGCCCGTGTTGAACACGGCCACCTGAGTGCGCCGCGCGGTGCGATCGCGGCGGCCCGGCTCCCTTTTCCGGCCCGCCGCGCGCGCGCCGCGCGTCCGCCCCGAGACGACTGCTCCTCTGCGCAGCGAGCGGGGATATTGTGTATTTCCCTAACAGCGAAGACTGATAGGTTTCTAGTGGGCTCAAAAAAGAGCATCTTGACTCCCCAGGGGGGTCTGGGCGGATGCTTGGGAGAATCTGGGGACCCCCCGGGACTCCCCAGGGGGGGCGGGTGCCGGGGAGGATCCGGGAAGCCAGGCCGCATTTTGAATGCTTGGAGCCAACTGTAGGCCACTTCGTGTTCTTCGTGTTCCCAGAACACCATTCCCAGGCCACATTTTGAATGCCCGGAGCCAACTGTAGGCCAATTCGTGTTCTTCGTGTTCCCAGAACACCATTCCCAGGCCACATTTTGAATGCCCGGAGCCAACTGTAGGCCACTTCGTGTTCTTCGTGTTCCCAGAACACCGTTCCCAGGCCACATTTTGAATGCCCGGAGCCAATTGTAGGCCACTTCGTGTTCTTCGTGTTCCCAGAACACCATTCCCAGGCCACATTTTGAATGCCCGGAGCCAACTGTAGGCCAATTCGTGTTCTTCGTGTTCCCAGAACACCACCTAAGGCTACATTTTGACTGCCTGGAGCCAACTGTGGCCACTTCGTGATCTTCGTGTTCCCAAAACACAAGTCCTGTGTTATATTTAATGCCCGAGCTGAGGCAGGCTGAGGCCGAGGCAGGCTGAGGCCGAGGCAGGCTGAGGCTGAGCCTGAGGCACGCCGAGGCAGGCTGAGGCTGAGGCTGAGGCAGGGCGAGGCTGAGGCAGGCTGAGGCTGAGGCTGACGCAGGCTGAGGCCGAGGCAGGCTGAGGCTGAGGCTGATGCAGGCTGAGGCTGAGGCTGAGGCTGAGGCTGAGGCTGAGGCTGAGGCTGATGCAGGCTGAGGCTGAGGCAGGCTGAGGCTGAGGCTGAGGCTGAGGCTGAGGCTGAGGCAGGCTGATGCTGAGGCTGAGGCCGAGGCAGGCTGAGGCTGAGGCCGAGGCAAGCCGAGGCAGGCTGAGGCTGAGGCTGAGGCTGAGGCTGAGGCAGGCTGAGGCTGAGACAGGCTGAGGCTGAGGCAGGCTGAGGCTGAGGCGGGCTAAGGCTGAGGCCGAGGCAGGATCAGGCCGAGACAGGCTGAGGCTGAGACTGAGTTTGAGGCTGAGGCTGAGGCCGAGGCAGGCCGAAGCTGAGACAAGGTGAGGCTGAATGGGAGGGGGGTAGGGGGGAGGGGAGGAGGGGAGGCTGAGGCAGGCTGAGGCCGAGGCAGGCTGAGGCCGAGGCAGGCTGAGGCTGAGGCTGAGGCAAACCGAGGCAGGCTGGGGCTGAGGCTGTGGCTGAGGCTGAGGCTGAGGCAGGCTGAGGCTGAGGCTGACGCAGGCTGAGGCCGAGGCAAGCTGAGGCTGAGGCTGAGGTAGGCTGAGGCTGAGGCCGAGGCAGGCTGAGGCTGAGGCTGAGGCTGAGCCCGAGGCAGGCTGAGGCTGAGGCAGAAACTGATGCAGGCTGAGGAATCCGTAGGATTCCATAGGAATCCTTAGATATCCCTGGGCATCCTTAGGAATCCGTAGGCATCCTTAGGCATCCGTAGGCATATTCAAGCATCCTCAGGAGTCCTTAGGATTCCCTAGGAAGCCTTAGGAATCCCTAGGAATCCCTAGGAATCAGGATTCCTAAGGTTTCCTAGGGATTCCTATGGATTCCTAAGGATGCCTACGGATGCCTTAGGAATCCCTTGGAATCCTTAGGATTCCATTGGATCCTAAGGCCGTTGCCACTGCGACTGTCATTGCGAATGCGACTGCGACTGCGCGAACAGCAGAATTCTACAATTGGATTCTCACCTGAATCGTAAGGGGAATGCTTCCATATATGCTTATACACATCGCTGTTAGGTTGCTTTGCCGGGATATTTTTTTTATTTTTCG